TTGCAACTGCTTGGGGGAGCACCCCGCGAGTTGTCTCGAAATGTCAATCATATTTAAAATTTTTAGAAAAACGAACGACCGCAACTCGCCCGTCTGGTCTGGCTTATGACTTGCATGAAAACTTGCATGCTAAATCTAACAAAATTCTTTCTACACAGTATAAATTTTGAAATTTAAATTTGATCGGGTATGACTTTCCTTTGTCAGATAGATCGGCTTCCCCAACAAATAAACATGTTTATTATTCACCTCCAAAAACATATGCTGAGGCCTTGAAAAATTCTAACGATCAAAACAACAATCTAAACGACTTTGCGCACACTGGCGACATAGCATATTTTAACGGTTTGATTTTTGAAATTAAGAAGCTGAGCTAGCTTGTAAATATAAAATTAATGCTCAATTCTATACAAAAGCTCAATGTGAAATTAGCCACTTGCACAGATGGACTCAGTAAACTGCAGATGTTTGTCGAGGCAGCTGATCTTATTAACTAAATAACTAAAAATGATTCCTTTTTCCTCTCTATTAAGGATATGCTCTAACAATATTGATATTGCCCTAATTACTGAAACGTGGATGCATCCTAATACTAAATTGAATTTTTCTGGTTTTGACATCATTTGTTCGGATGCGCCCTGTGTTAAAGCGGGAGGCTCGGCAATTTAGCAAAACCTACGATATCATACCCTTCGGCCTTCCTATCCCGGATATTGATGGATGTGAAATATTATTAATAAAGCTGCTATCGGGCTTGAATCTGACTTTGGGGGTTACTTATATTTCTCCTAGCGTTAGATTCGACTTTGATAAATTTGATGCAATATTTAAAGATTTATCGTATGATAAGATTTTAAATACGGAGAACTTGAATCGCCAGTGAATAATTAACAATTAGCCAAGGTATTATGATTGACCTAACTGGCAAATTTTATTGTTTAAAAAAACGCTACGTTTTGACCGCAGATTTCGGTCCTTTTCAAGCGTATAGAAACTCACAAATATTAGTCAATCAGACATAATGCCCAAACTACGCCGAATCTAAAAACTAAACATAAAAAATTGAAGAATAAAATTGAAGAACGCAACAATGAGTATAAGTCCATAAATATTTATATAAATCAAAAACTTACATATTTGTATACGTTAAATTAACAGAAGTAAAATATATACATGTTAAACGGTATTTTCGTTAGTTGTTTATGTCGGAGGACATGTCAGAGCCGTGCGGTGGTAAAATTTAAACTGACAAAACCGGACAAACAATAAACAAACCAATGTCGTCAATAATAAGAGCTATAGGCGTAGAGAGGGAAACAGAGAAGAAGGAAAAGGAATTATGTTTCTTTTATGATATGTTCGCAGAGAGCGTGTCTTTTTGTAAGTTACTGGTGTCATCAAATTTTTTAATAAAGACATTTCCGCTAATTCCCTCTTTCTCACATAGTTCCAAGCATTTAAATACGTTTCGACAAGAGTTCCAGCTATTTACTATTTTCAAACAATTTATTCGTATTTCTCGTAGATGAGGTGCCAGCGGTCAAATTAAAAAATTGTTTAAAAATAGTAAATGGCTAGAACTTTTGTAAAAACGTATTTAAATGCTTGGAACTATGTGAGAACTGCCGAGAACTCTGAAGAAAACGATCGGAGTTGTCAGCACTCCGTATTTCTCGTAGATGAGGTGCCAGCGGTCAAATTAAAAAATTGTTTAAAAATAGTAAATGGCTAGAACTTTTGTAAAAACGTATTTAAATGCTTGGAATTATGTGAGAACTGCCGAGAACTCTGAAGAAAACAGTCGGAATTGTCAGTACTCCGTATTTCTCTTAGAGGAGGTGCCAGCGGTCAAATTAAAAATTTATTTGAAAATAATTAAAGGCTGGAACTGTCGCTGACACCTATCAGGAACTGTAGAACTTTTCGAGAACTATAGAATTTCATGGTAAAAATCAATTTTTTTGGAACTTGAAGTGCTCTCGGTCAGATAACAAATTTTGTTTAAAAATACTTAATGATCAGAACTATTTCTAAAACCTATCAGAAACAGTAGAACTCTTCGAGAACTATAAAATATAATGGTTAAAATTAATTTTTTTGAAACGTGAGGTGCTACGGGAGTTAGCATTTTTAAAGTTAGTTTTTTGAGTTTCTGATGGAGTATCGTAAATAAATGATTCACTAATTGTATTAAAAACGATAGAAACTGATGTGCAGCTGATAAGACATTTATAATAGGATCTCAAGTATTTTGTGACGTAAATTTCTGATAGAGTATCGTAAAAAAACGATTCACTAACCATATTAAAAACGATAAAATTCTTTTATCGTTTTTTATCGTTGGCGGTTATCAGGGTGACGTTTCCGCGATCGCACGTGTCACGCTTCGCGAACACTTCGCGAAGCTGAAGAGAATTACGCGGCTAGCACGACAATATACAGACAAGAGACGAAAATGCTCGACGAAAATAAATATTACAGAAATAAAATGGTTTGTTCAGCCAACAATAATTAAACAAGAAAAGTTTATTGATTTCGACTTCAATTGGCAAAATAAATTGAAACGTTGCTACGTTTCGACTTCTCGGATCGGGTCCTTATCAAGCAATCTAAACAACAAACAAAGAATCTAGTATAACAATAATTTGATCCGCAAGATAAAATTAATAGTCAAGGAAAAACATTATAGATAAAAGCGATAGCTTTTAGGTAACTATTCTTTGTCACAAACTTAAACATTAGCATTTTCGAAAATTTTACCTGAAATAATCATATCGCTGGAAGAACAATAGTCAGTGAGCAATGTAAAAAAGTATGCAGTTAAAGGCGAGCAAAAATGACTTACAAGTATAAGTCGGTGACAGCAGAGAATGCGTTTAATTATGAGAGAGTGACCACCGCGAAAATAAATATTAATTTAAGTCAAAATCGTTACAAATTAGTTACTCCTTAACATATTTTAAAACGAGATTTTAAAATTAATAATGTAATTTTAGTCTTGACGACTAAATTACAAAATGACTAAACTTATTGTTATCCCGTAAGCATCATAATGATAATAATTGCTAATATTGAGTAATTTTCGGTGATTTTGGTGAACTGAAAATAATTTTCTTAATTTCTGTCATAATTTTTCAATTTAAATTGATTTTTTAAATTTAATTTGATGAGTATTATAATATTTCCAAGTCTTATAAGCGCATTCGTTGATATTCTGTATATTAATGGATCAAATCGATTATAATGATCAGAATCGATTATAACGTAAGTACCACGATTCGTGGCAATGTCGAAATTTGTTAACGCGAGCGCTAATTATTCAAGCGCGTTTTCTCGCTCTAATAACTTCTGCAGAATTCAAATAATTGTATTTGCGTAAACATCGACAAAAAACTGGAAAAAAAATTAGCTTAAATTTTTAATCTTTTTACATTTTGAACTTTAAACCTTAATATCGTCTAAATAGTTATATTTATAAAAAAAAATATAAGAGATTTTTTTGTAGATCGTTAAATTTTCTACAAAAATATGTATTGATTATTTCATAATTTTTGATAGTCGGTATGATACAACATTCATAAGAAGCAAAAACAAGTTTTATAAAATTTATCAAACTTTAACTTTGAATATCTTTTGAACGGTTGAATTTATGAAAAAATAATAAGAGATCTTTTTTGTAGAGCGGTAAATTTACTAAAAAAACTTTATTTGGAGCAATGCTGTATTACTGTTTGTTAGATAGTTATAAAATTTTTTCTATCTTACTAAATAAAAAATAAAAAATCGCGATGAGCGACCTGTTAACATTAATATTAAGGGCTAAAATTTTAACAGGTATCTTATTTTACCTTCCTGCAAGTATATATGCTATTCGTGAAATGAAAAAAAAAGTTGCTCCAAAATGACACACCCTAGTATATATATGTATACACATCTGCACTTTAAAATTAGAATAAAAACAACTGAGAAATAATTGATGCTTACATATATTTTAGCTTGAAATATAGATCCACTCAAAAAAGATTGTTTTGTCAGAGAAATTATACCTATTCTCTCAAAATTAATTTTATTAAATACTATTAATGTTAACTGCATACCAGTTGCATGATTTATCTGTAAGAAATAAATATTAAAATAGTTCTATCGAGTAATCACAGATCAGTGCGAGTAATATAATGTAATTATTAATGTATTAATAATAATAATATGTATTAATAATAATATATTATTAATATATAAACTTTATAATATTTAACACATAACTGATCATTGGTCGAAGGGTTTATGTTGAATCATTCGCGATTGTTATAAATAAATAAGAAACAGAAAATCCTGAATGACAAATTAAACATGACAGTTGAATAATTAAATTTTTTATTGCTTCGTTTTTATTGCTTGTATTGTTTTTGCTTAAAAAATAAAAATGTTACATTTATCCATAACAATTTTGCAATATTAATCGATGACCGATTTTTCATATTTGACCTTATTAACTGCGTAGAGGAACGATCCGACAAATTTGTACAAATAATTGTTGCACAGGATTTTTATATGCGCTTATATTATATTACAGATAATTGAGATTAATCAGTAAATAATCAAATATTTGTGTAACAATCCTTGCCGCTCAAGCGTTTGACTATGCAATGGTATAGCTTTGAAACGCGATAGCAATTGCAAATTATTTCAAAATTCGTAGCTAAACATATTACAATTATTACTCACTATTATCGCACATGTATGTACAAATTTATTATTACATCATTTTATTTCTATCCATTAATCGTCAAAATATTATTTCATGTAACATATTTATTATGCCTTATGCAAAGTAAAATGAATGACTATAATTCATGTTTTATATTACTATAATGATATATCAAAGAATGAGATCTATAATCTAAATAATTTAATAACATTATGTTGAAGAATAACTTAATTTATCGTAATTGCTTCTTTTATAATACCTTTTACTTAAAATACTTTTCGCTTAATACTTTTTACTTAAAAGATATATAATTACCATAATGAAATAATATTAACAATGTGTGACTATGTAATAATTATTATGCCTTATGTAATACTTCAAAAGCCAGGCCAGAAAAATTTTTTATTAAATCTGCTATGAATATTTATATTGCATTTTGATCAAAGTACTTAAAATCGTCGAAAATTATATCATATTTTTATATACATAAATATCAATTAATAGTTAAAATAGATTTTAGGCTAAAGTAAAGAATTATAAAGGTTTTCTATAGCCTATGAAAGAAATGAGAACCGACAAAGAAACAATAATTATTACATTTGACAAATAATGTGGAATTGTAAATGATCGTTTAATTACTGTATCGTGCATTATATTGTCACTGATATTTATAAAACATAATAATGCGATTTAAAAAATAGGTTTGTCGTCTGCATTGATTATTAATAATCACAGATGCATCGATAAAAGATCGCAGTTAATGCTTACACTATTCGGTAGTAATACTTTCTTTTCACACTATTTACTGTTATTACACTAGATATATTTACAAAATCATTTTAGTTGATCATCTTCAATGAGCAAATTGCCACTTGGTTATCAGGAGCTTTGCCGAAAGGTTTATTTCCATCGAGTGTCTCGTATCTGTTCACCTGGTATACCAGCATTGTTTCATAACCGTATACGTCCGTACCAAGTTGCTGCACATAAAGTTTAAAAAATATAAATCAAGAATTTTGCAAAATCATGTATTTGTTTGATAAGTTACTGTATTATTAGCTAAGTTATTAAAAACTTAGGTTTATCGTTTACCTGTGTGAGTGGATTAGTGTTTGTGGTGAAAATTCCGATGTATTCTTTTTGTTTGGCAAGTTGCAAACAGTATTCTTCCATTTGTCTTATTACAAGTACATTTTCCATGGGATTCAAATCGATGCTCGTCCCCATCATGAAATTATGAATAATCTTGCCTTTACCCTTTGGTAATTTGTAATCTCTGATCGGTCCCTCCAGATATTCGAGAAAATCAAAAACAATCATTAACTTAGATTTCAGTATTACTTCAGGTTCATCCCAAAGATCAAAGTTGAAAGTAACTCCGATTGTTTTGCCACTTTGCGCCGATTTCATTACGAAGCTCAAGTTCTTCTCTACAAGAGGAGCCCACATAGCCTCCACTAATTCCCGATAATCGGTTCTCGTTATTTCCGGCATTAACCACTGCTCCAAATCGGCTTTTGAATAAAAGCTCTCCGTGATTATTCTGTAAATTTAAATAAATGTTCATCCTTACGCACGTATATTTAATTTTGCACAACACTTACTCGATTGCGTCCTCCTTATGGCAGTCGTTTAATAATTCAAAGACGTACGATTTCTGGTCAATGGCTTCTTTCAAAGGTTTCTCGTCGGTTAATATGAACTTCATCCGGTCTAATACTTCGGCTAAATTTTTCGCTGTGATAAAATCCGTGATACCGATCTGATAACCTTGATCTCTTAACTTGGTCACGGTGTAAATGGAATTCAAGGAATTTCCACCAAGTTCGTAGAAATTTGCGTTTAGCATTACCGGTGTGCGACTACTACGTCCGATTACGGATGCGATGGTCGGAAAAAGGATACGGGCTTTTGCAAGATCTTGACTTGGCACTCCGCTGTAATCGCAATTCATAGCAACGTGGTCTTCTATAAAACAAAAATTTCTATTTTAGTCAGTAAAACATAGATCTTTTGAGTTAATATATGAATTAGTCTTTTTTTAATTTATTGATAATTAAAAGAAATTGTATCATAATTTATTATTATTTACATTTGGATTATTAATTTTTGAAAAAGTAAAAATTATAATTCAAAAACTGAACTTAATTTGACATTTCTTTTATTTCTTTTTAATAAAAGAAAATTTTTTTAAATTTTAGTGCAAGAGCAATTATTAAAATAATACACAGAATTTAATAAGAACTCTATAAGAAATTGCCAAATTGATTACTCAATAAGAAACAGATATGAAAGAAAATGAATTCCTTTCGATTTTACATTTGCTATTTACTTGTATCGCAGAAAAGATTGGAAAGACTATCTTGATCTCATGTGATATCATGTATGAAATTATGTGTGAAACTATGTATGTTAAAACTATGTATGAAACTATGTATGTTAAAATTGAAATAATAGGAAAGAAATACCTACATATTCGTAAACCGGTTTTCTTAATTATAGATTAGTCACTCGTTTCACATAGTTTCACATAGTCTTGTTATAAATCTAGCTCTGTAAGCTTGTTATGAATCTCTCTAGCTTGTTATAAATTACTCTAGCTTATAACTAGACATCGGATTTTTTATATGCAGATTGGTGGAAAAAAGCAAATAAATCCGATGCTTTCTTATAAACATCTATTTTTATACGTAAACATTTACATATAAGACAGTTACACGTAATTAAAGTATAACTAAGTAAAACAATTAATATTTCAATATCTACGTTATTTAATATTTTAAAGAGATATTCCGACATACGTATCATTTTACTTGACAGAACGGTATAAAGTTATCATTAGTTTGACATACCGTCATTAGAGCAAGATGATTCGTATCTCCTTAGCAATTCCTGTCGATCCGTTTTCCCATTTGTTAGAAGAGGTATGTGATCAACAATAAAAATTTGTGGTAACATATATGGCGGTAATGTCTTTTGAAGAAGATTTTCGATCTCCGAGCTGGATAAGGTCGTGCATTGGCACGAATGCGTAACGGTAACGAACGCTATTAATGCCTGAAAATACGAAATATACCCGTATAAATTAATTTAACGTTAGAAAACCGATTCCAATCTTTTTTAACTCTTTTTAATATATACGTGCCTTTAGTAGCTTTAATAATAATAATTTAGAGACGATGCCTTTAGAATGTATGAACAATAAAACGTTGCTGATAAGACGTTTATAAATTTCATGAAACTGATGTATAGTAGAATAGTTTGTTCGGTGGAAGCCTATTAGGTTTATGAAGCATCGATATTTAATTGATAAAGTACTTCAATTTCTTCTTAACATGAAAATGATGAGCACAACCAAAAATATTAAAGGTTGATTTTATATTTAAAGCAATTGGAAGAATTGATATGTATGCTTATTTAGCTCTAAGATATTTATGGAAAATTAAAAAAAAATTATTTTTTGTAAATTTTTTCAACATATTTGCATTTTATTTTGCACACACATATATTGAAATATTTACCTGTGACAGTTCGCCGGGTTTGTGACAGAGAACCACGACTTTATCAATATTGGGTACCCTGGCGATCACCTTTTCAACTTCCGTGAAATCGACACGATGACCCCTAATCTTGATCTGCGAATCCACTCGTCCTTCGTAAATTACCGAGTCTTTGACAATTTTAGCGTAATCACCCGTACGGAAGATTTTTGGATATTCTGTAGACATCAGTACATTTTTAAATGCGTAATAAAGTCGTAATTCTTTCCACTAAAGAAAACGCGACGTTTCGCTTGTAAGGGAAACTAAGATTATGAATAGGAGAATTTGTAGGTCGCAGCAAATACTTCAAGTTCGAAAGACGTAGAATTCGATCTTCTTGTTGTGTTATTTTATTTTCTCACCTGGATCAATGGCATGAGGATTGTCCAAAAATTTATGTGTGTCTCGTTCGCATATATAACCCGCGGCAAGATTTCTTCCAGCCACGATCAACTCTCCGACTTCTCCCTGGGGGATCAGTCGCAAGTCTTTGTTCACGAGATAAATTATGCAGTTGTCGATCGGCTTTCCTGCAAAGACACAGCGAGCCATGTAAATGTTGTTTAGCGATTATTATTTATTAGTAATAGTAATCCACTGAAATAAACTTTTACACGGAGAGAATTTTCTCTTAGAATTAACTCTGAAATCATGGTAGTTGTGGGACAACATGTATCCACCAAGAATTTTATGCGAGTTATTCTGATTAATATCTACCACAATAAAAAGTATTAATATCTATTGTATTTAAATATAAAATATGTTTGATTAATTTTACTAAAATATATCTAGAAAATTTCAATAATTTTTCAAAATTTACCAATTTGCTTGGTAATTTTTATCATGTTTGTAGAATGTTTTTTGTATATTTCAAAAATTCCTTGGTTGCCAAGTTGTCCGAAGTTTATAGTGAATTTAAGGGTAAAATATAACAAAAAATTCTCTCCGTGTAGTTATTAACTTATAATTAATTATTAAATGTTGTTATATGCTTTGTTATATTGTTATATTAATTTATTAATTATTTTGTTACTTTTATAACATTATTTTATTTTTTTAACTTTATTTTATTTGTTTTACCGATTGGCACTTTCTCCATCCCTTGTAATTGTTCCCGTTTGTTTAATAGGTAATATGTAACGTCACCCATGACTTCCGTGCTACCGTAGAAATTAGCTAATATCTTGCCCTTGTTGTCAAACGTGGTGAAAAATTGATTGGCCAATGCGACCGACAAAGTTTCTCCGGAACAAACCCAGAGTTTCAAGCGATCGAGAACGTTGTCATTATCCTGTGCAAGACAACGACAGACCGTATATTAAATCCAAGGTGTTGCAAAGCGGTGTACATTCTTATCGGGTAAATCATAACCGTGTCTCAGGTGTCTCGATTTGCGATAACGACAATGTAAGAATTTTCTAATTTGATTAGAATAATGAGCATGATTTTTATTACTCTTTAATTAATTTACTGACACCTGTCATAAAATTAACACCTTATTGACACAGATACTTCGATAGCAAATAACTTTCGCTAATTAAACATTTAATCGAATGCTCGTAATCCGCGTTGGGTAATTTACAAGCGCGAACTTATATTGATTTGTGGAAAACTTTGCAATTGAGACACGCCGATATGAAAATCGCAGAATTGTGAAAGCGTTGATTCTTATTTATTCAATATACAATTGCTTTGCATGTACGTTTTGTAATTTGCTTAAGCGTGACGAATAAAGCGTGTCTAACGTTTCCAAACTAATGTTGAAATTCTAAAAGTAAGAGGCTGCTTAAGATCTTCGCGAGTGTTAAAGGAAAAACGTCCACACGTCTTATGCCTTATCATCGATGTATAGTGAATTATTATCATCATTATGAGATATTGAAAGTTACTCATTTTAATGGTCAGGAAAGCACGTTGTTCGTAACCTTTCGTATAATGTTGCGTAAAATCACGATTAAAATTCCCGAGAAATTTACGTAATAATAATAGGTTCGCCTATCTTGCGATAAATTACATGTGGAATATAACTTTACATACTCACT